ACCTAAATGTCTACTTTCAAACAATACTTTTAAAAAAAGAAATCCAAGATTTTTACATAAAATCACTTGATACTCGTTACAGGTTACACAAATAAAAGCTTTCAGAAACCGTCAAATCTATTCATCACTTTCACTCCGATCCGGATATGCTTTTCTCCTGATAACATTCCAGTATCTTGTAGAATTACAGACGCAATCGCAAAAATCGACATTATGCCCGTTGCAATTCATAAATCCATCTCCGGCGAATCAAATTAGGGTTCCGATGTCACTTAAGTTGTGATTGTCTATGCGAATGGAGTCTCTGCAACAGAGAGTAGAATCATGGATCAGAGACCAAAGAACGAAGCTCTTGAAGGTCACTTGGCCACAACAATGGCCTGTTGCTATGAAATGGCCTTGGATCAAAGGGAGAGAGCACAGGAAACGAATGCAAGAAGAGTATAAGCGTCGGAAGACGCAACTTCACAATCTTTGTATCGCCCTCAAGGCCGATTCTCTTTCGGATTTGCAGGATATACTTTGCTGTATGGTGCTTTCTGAGTGTGTTTACAAGGTGCGTATGTTGCTCTACGTTACCGAGTGTGCTTTTGTGATTTTTGAGTTAATCAATTTCTTTGAACGTTTGTGCATTTTACTTTTGCAATTGGTATGCTCAATCCCATTTCCCTCTTTTCATCCTTTTTGCTGCCTTTGGTTGAACTGGAATCATTGTGAATTCTTGAAATTGATGACATAGGGATACTAATGTACCATAATAACACTTACTATTGTCATTACAGAGACCTGATGCTGAACTGGTTCAAGCTGTGAATAAATTTAAAGCCGACTTTGATGGTCAAGTTGTTTCTTTGGAGCGCATCCAACCATCTTCAGATCACGTCCCTCACAGGTGAGTTATTATTAGAAGTATTTCATTGTTGTGACACCACCTATAAAAATCTTATGTGTGGGCATGTCTGTACAGGTATCTTCTAGCAGAAACAGGAGACACATTATTTGCTTCCTTCATTGGAACCAAGCAATACAAGTACGTGGCAAACTGTTAACATAACATTATGTAGCTCTTATGACTCTTATTTCTAGAGAAACAGTTTTCTTATTGTTTTGGAGTAATTAATAGGGACATGATGGCTGATGCAAATATACTTCAAGGTGCCATATTCCATGATGATGCTTTAGAAGACACTGAAGAAATTATAACAAAAAACTCTCCTCAAGTTGATGGCCAAAAGAAACTCTTTGATGATACTCCAAAGACCCTTGGAGCAAAGCCTCAAGGAGTAACTTCAACTAAACCTGCTGCTCATCGGGTAAAGTAAAGTTGCTGCCTTTTTATCATTCAGACATAATTCAAATCAATGGAAATGTGAGATAACATTTTGAATAATTCTTTAGGGCTTCATGTCACGTGCCAAAGGGATACCTGCTTTGGAGTTATACAAGCTAGCTCAGAAAAAGAAACGAAAACTTGTTCTCTGTGGACATTCACTTGGTGGAGCAGTAAGTTTGGATTCTCCCTGGTCTTTCTTATTCAAATATTAAAATTTTTCCTTTTTTTTTTCTTCCCCTTAGGTTGCTGTTTTATCTACCCTAGCTATCTTGAGGGTGATTGCAGCTGCTTCTTCATCAAAAGAACATGAAAAAGTTCATGTAAAGTGCATCACATTTTCCCAGCCTCCAGTTGGCAATGCTGCTTTAAGAGAGTAGGTCTTATCATCTTAATGTTGGTGTATGTGTTATGTCATATAAGTTATAACTACCGACATACAATTATACAAACAATCTTCTGTTTCAGTTATGTTAATGAGAAAGGGTGGCAGCAATACTTCAAGACTTACTGCATTCCAGAGGATCTTGTCCCCCGTATATTATCCCCTGCATACTTCCATCACTACAATGCACACTCCTATGTTCCTCCAGTTGAGAGACAAAAGGCAAAAGTTAAGGAGGATGAAAAAGAGCAGTTAGTGTTGGGTTTAGGACCTGTACATAACTCTTTCTGGAGACTTTCCAGACTTGTACCTTTAGATGCTGTGAGAAGACAACTTAATAAATACACTGTCAATACATTTGGTTCTTCTGTGAATTCTCCCACTGATTCCAACTTAACATCTTCAATCCAAGACACTGAAGATGCTCCACAGTCTCTTGAGATTGAAGAGGATTCTGATGGCATTTCCCTCAAACCATATCCCACCACAGATAAAGGAGATCCATATGAAACAATAAAAGATAAATCATCTAATAAACGTAAGGCTTGGCATAGAGTACCTGCTTTGCCTTCATATGTCCCATTTGGACAGGTAAATTCTACATCTAATTGCAACAAATTATTATATATTATTTGATCTAATGAAGATTGTCTGTTTTTCATAGCTTTATCTTTTGGGTAATTCATCTGTGGAGTCTTTATCCGGTGCAGAGTACTCCAAGTTGACATCGGTAAGATTTATATTCTGTTAACATTTGGTACTATGTTAAAAATCCCTTTTCTTGAATTTCTCATTTTGTTTGCTTTGTTTTGGCAAAGACATATTCAGGTTAAGTCCATAATTGCTGAAATAAGGGAAAGACTTCAGTCTCATTCCATGAAATCATATAGATCCAGATTCCAAAGGTACCCATATCTTTCAAACTAGTGTTGAACACAAAAACCAACATATGGTTAATGGTTTATGGTTACAAATTACAATCTTTTCTTTAATAGAATCTACAACGATTGCATGAGAGATAGCTCTTCATCCTTCTTGGGAATGGATCAACAACAACAATTTCCTCAATTACAAAAATGGCTTGGTATTTCACTTGCAAACACTGTTGAGCTTGGACACATAGTGGAGTCTCCTATTATATGCACTGCCACCTCTATTGTCCCCCTTGGATGGAATGGTGTTCCTGGTGAAAAAAACATTGAGCCTATCAAAGTAGACATTACTGGTGTTGATTTGCACCTATGTACCCTAGTTCAAGCCCGTGTCAATGGGAACTGGTATTATTCTTTTCCAATTCTTTTCACATTTTAATTTTGTAAGTCTACTGTTATTTCATCTTTTTAAAAGTATAATATTATGAATATACACAACAGGTGTGCAACAAGTGTTGAAGCTTTCCCTTCTGGGCCGAATAATAATAATAATAATAATCATTCGGATGATGGAGTCAAGTCAGGGATGCAAAAGATTAGGGTTTTAGTTGGGAGACCTTTGAAACGACCTCCAAAGCATCAAATAACAACAGATTCATTAATTTCAGCTTTTCCTTCTATGGATTTGAACCCTGTTGATCAATTTGGGAAATTTATGTGCCCTGAAGGTCTAAGTGACTTTGTTGTGTTTTGTACAACTGATTTCTCTACCATCTCCAAAGAGGTTCATGTTCGCACGCGTAGGGTCCGCTTGGTTGGCCTTGAGGTATTTTACTAATATGTCCGAAAATTTAATCTCGTTATTTACCATGAATTACAGAAATGGTCCCTGTGCTTTTTGATATGAAACATTGAAATAAGGGCCAAAAATGGAAAGGGTTTTAATTTTTTTTTACTAATAAAATCAAAAGGCATAGGGACCGATTCTGTAATTTACTCCATCGTTTATTATTTTGTCTAACAAGCCCTGAGTGGTGGGTTGTGTAGGGTGCTGGCAAAACATCACTTTTAAAGGCAATATTAGATCAAGGAAGGGCAAATATGTCAACCAATGTTGAAAATTTTCCCATGGATGTTGATGTTAAAGAAGGCTTTGCAGGTGGTTTATGCTTTACAGACTCTGCAGGAGTAGATTTACAGGTGCGTATATATGTTTTTTAATAAAAGAATTGGAGTTCAAGATTCCATTCCATGGACATAAACGCCCTCCTCCTTATCATGGAAAACAGTCCTTGTTTGATATTTTTGACATATGATACAGGATCTGAACAAGGAAGCAGCTCGTTTCAAAAAGGAATTATGGATGGGGATTCGTGACATGAACACAAAAACCGATTTAATCATTTTAGTCCACAATCTATCACATAAAATCCCATGGTATACACTACAATCAAACACATCAACACGCCAACCATCCCTCTCATTTCTATTAGATGAAGCCAAAGCACTTGGAATCCCATGGGTCCTTGCAATAACAAATAAATTTTCTGTAAGTGCTCACCAACAAAAGCCAGCAGTTGAAGCTGTTCTTGACGCGTATCAAGCAACTCCAACCACAACTGAAGTCATTAATTCATGTCCATACGTTATGCCAACTCCCGCAACTGAAGAAATTACAGATCCTGATGTGAAATTGGCTTCTCATAAGTTCATTGCGGGTCCCATTAGTTTAGTCAGACGCTCGTTTCAGAAGAAAAGTATGATTCTTCCTGTAGAGGGTGTCAGTGCCCTTTGTCAGCTTGTACATCGTGTCCTTCGTAACCATGAGGAGGTTGCTTTGGAGGTAACTTTTCTATGATTATTTTTACTTGAAAACTCAGATTCTGTTATTGAAATGTGGTTTCTATTTTTGGAAGGAACTTGCAAAAGAGAGGCTTATGGTGGAATTATCGAAAGGGAGAGAATCAGGAGCTGATGGGAGTCGAGAGGCAATGGCAAAGGCAAACTCATTGACAGCTGCAGCTGTTGGTGCTTCTGTTGGGGCGGGTGTTGGCCTTGTCATGGCCATTGTTATGGGGGCTGCTTCTGCATTGAGGAAACCTTGATAGATCCATTGTTATGGTTAGATTTTTGGTGGTGGATGAATCATGAATCATAAGTTGTAGATTGTATTTGTGTGGGAGTTAGGTGGGAGAGTTGAGAACATACATTTATTTATTTTATTTCTAGTTCATTATTATGTCGAAGCTTATTAAATGTTTTAAGCTATAATCCAAGTATCCAACCCTATATGTGCTTTAGGAATACAACATCTTGTGTGACGTAAATTCATACAAAAGAAACAAAATCCAAATAGAAATTATAATGTTGGCTCATCACGACAAAAACAGGGCTTCACTTGACACTCAAGAACTCACCGAGAACAACAGGAAGAACGGCTGGTGGAGCCATTGATGAGGCTGACACTGTTAGAAGACAATTCAGCCTTGTAGGAATCCGAGTTCAGAACCTTCCTTCTGCTATTGTTGTAGATAGCACGGATAACAATCTGGAAAGCCTCTTTCACGTTTGTAGAATCAAGCGCAGATGTCTCAATGAAGAACATTCCTTCCTCTTCTGCAAGTCTTTTACCTTCTTCGACACTCACGTCCCTAATATTCTCCAAATCACTCTTGTTCCCAACCAGCATTCTTGCTGTCGTTGTATCACAGTGAGCTGTAACATTTAACATTTAAGATTCAAAGTTACCTCGATACCCGAAAAACCAGTTCACTATAGATAGTTTGATCAGTATGCAGGATGTTCAGGCAGTCTTAAATTTTGCAGATAAGTTTTCATTTAGTCTCATTCAGTCACGGATATGTTAAATCGGTTTGCAATTTTGATGAAAAATGATGAAGATTTAAGTAAACCCTAACAATTGTATTTGAATGAACGCCGATGAAACAGTTCAGCTCAGTATTCGGCGCCATTGAAATTGACTAAAATTTTGAACAGATTAGCAAACAGAAATGAAGTGAAAACTTACTGTTGAGTTCATCAAGCCACCGTTTAATACTCTCAAAAGTAGTACGACGACTGATGTCATAAACAATAAGTGCACCGACGGCGCCGCGATAGTAGGCGGAGGTGACGGCGCGGAAGCGCTCTTGACCGGCGGTGTCCCAGACTTGGGCTTTGACTTCCTTGCCGTCGATATCCACCACTTGCGTCTGAAATTCCACACCGATTGTGGCCTTGGAGTGCAGATCAAACTCGTCTCTAGCGAACCGCGACAATAAGTTGGATTTGCCGACTGCAGAGTCACCTATCACCACTATCTTGAAAAGGTACTCTTCTCCACCTACACCTTCCTCCATTTTCTTGCCTGAATTCTAGAGAGAGGTGTTTTGAGTTATGACAATGGCGTTGACGATGGTGGACTTTTATCCGTTATCGTTGGCCTTGGGAGTGAAGTAGCAGAGAAAAATGCAATGCGTGATTTACGGATTTTTTTACAAAATATTCTTTTTACATTTATATAATAATCGTGAGGTCAAGATTAATCCGATCTTTTTTTTGCTTCGGACTTTATCCCATGATAGAAAGAGTTTGGTCTGAAACGGTCATTTTACAAAATGCAAAAAAAAGACAGTGAGATAACTAACTTTTGTTTGTTTTTTTAGAGTAACTATTTGTTGTTTTTTTAGAGCAACTAAATTTATAATTGAAATTATTCAAAAAAATATAATATTATATTTTTTTATAGTAGGTTTTGTGGGATTCCAAAGTTTTTTTTCGATTAAACATGAGTTTTCTGGTCACCTTCTCTAATAAAACATGAATTTTCCCGCTATCTAAGTTCTTGAAGGTGGAAGCCAGATTTCTCTTTCTAGAAAGAATAATTCAAGAACTCAATATTTAAAACTCAAGAAGATGGAAGTAGATCTGCAAAACAATTTTGTGCCTTTGTTCTCTCTTTCTTCTCTTTTCCAGTTACATTCTTTCTGTCTTCTCTTTTGAGAACTCAAGATTCATCCCCAATTCCCCATAACTCTAGATCTCAAAACCAATTAAAGAAACATATATGAAAATCGATTCCATTAGAGTTCATCAAAATACATACCAAGAACACTAAGTGTTCATCATGTTCATCTAAGTTCATTAGAATAAAAACACACATACACACATAGTGTGTCTAATTTCTTTGTTCATCAAAGTCTAGATGCGTTTCGAGATCAAAATTCTTTGTCTGTTAGAGTCAACATATGATTTCTAGGATTTTAGGAACGTGTTCATCCCTTCAAACGATTGTGATTTCAAAAACATGAGTTATCCCTTTCAAACGATTACAATTTAACGATTTATAAGGTTTATGGGTTTACAAGAACGTGTTTAGAAGACCCTTCAATTTCAATGTGGGTATTCAAGATACCCGGAAAATTCAAAGTTGGCTGGAGAGATGACCAAGAATTTCAAAGATAGCCGAAAAACTCATGTTTGGAGAAGAAGACGTTGAAAATCAACAAAATTGACTTTACTCGGTCATACTGATATATTCGAAGAATTTCAAAAAGTTCAATACTAGATCAAACACAAAGAATTTCAAAAGTTCAGTAGTAGAGCAAACACAAAATAAATTTAACAATTAACAATCTACAAAAATAAAAAATTGATTCCTTTATTAAATTACTAGCTTTTAGTCTGAACAAGTTCATATTATTATCTAATTTTTCACCATTTATTTTAGAAAACATTTTTTTTTATAAATCAAACAAATTTTACGTTTAACTTAATCTATGGTTAATTAGAATTTTATAATTAATTAATTATAGACTAAATTACATAAATGGTACCTCTGTTTTACCAAAAGTTACAAACTCAATCATTGCTATTTTTTTAATAAACATGGTCCATATGATTTTCAAAACTTGCATGAATGTTCATTTTTACTAACATTGTTAGTTTTCATCCGTTAGTATGTTTTTTGGTAGCGGATAGTAAGTTTGTGATAATGGGTAAATCATAAGGATCATTTATGTAATTTTTTCTATATTTTATGTTTATAAGTTTATGGTTTTTCCACTATTTTACTTTTTAGGGGTAAATTACACCAATCGTCTCTCATGCAAAACGTGTTTAATTTATATTTCAAAAATTAACTTGGACATTCCCTTATATGGTAGAAATGTACACACTTCATCTATTGTTAGTTTAAATTTGCATATTTTATCCCTTGTGATACATAAAATGACTAAAATGCCCTTTGTAATTTCTTTTTCATTTATTTTTAACATTTACGTTCTTTTTAATTATTAATAAATATTTTAACTAAGATTATGGGTCCACGTAACTACCACCATCACTTGAAATCTACACCACCACCACAAACTTGCACAACTACCATCAGAAATCTACCAACGCCTTGTACCACTAGTTCAAAACTCAAGACCAACACCCCGCTTTCATCAAGCCACATGTTTCACCTCCTCTTTATACCATATGTTCAAAGCTTAATACCACTACCGCCACCTTCCTGTACAAACACCAACATACCAAAAAAAACCCATTCGAACACCAATTGTCATCACTCCATCATCAGTAATGGAAAAACCCACCTCCACCCTTAAACACCAAATTTGCCACCTCCATTGCTATCAACTACCACCGGCTAACAAAATTAAAACAAAAATCTGATGTAACAATCTTAGAAAAACCACAAAACCTAAATCTACTTAGAATTATGGCAAAATTAGTTTGATTAAATCCAAAATCCAAAATCATTTTGCCAGAGATGTTTAGGTTTATTAAGACCGCCATAGTCGAGTATTTCGATGAGCGCTACACAGCCCTTGCAGAAATGGTTTCCGCAATAGCTGCATCAACTATAATGGCGGCAGGGGGAGGAGCTAGTCGGGCTTTTCAGTACAGGGACTTCGATAACATGAAGCCCCCTACTTTTTATGAGACTCAGGACCCCATCAAAGCCATGAGGTGGGTTTCTGACGTGGAAGGGTGCTTCTTTACATGTTCATGTCCTACTGACCAGAAAGTTAGATGTGCCCTGAACCTGCTGAGGTTCGGGGCAAAGGACTGGTCGAGGTTAACGACTGGGCCGTACATGGATGATTAGAGAGCTGTAGTTACTTAGGAGCAGTTCGGGGATATGTTCCGCGCTCGTTACATTCCACGGGTTGAGCGGGAACGATTAGCTCTGGAGTTTTTGGGATTCAGACATGATGGTGAGTCGGTGACGGAGATCACCCACATGTTCACAGAGAGGGCGATGTTCTGCCTAAAGTTTACCTCTAAGTAGGCTCAGATGACACGTTATCTGAGCATGCTCAAGACTGACATCTATCGGTTTGTTTCTATCCATCAGTGTGATACTTTGCAGAGTTACAGGATGCCGCTAGGGCGGCGTGATTTGGAGATTGAGCTGCAGTTGAGGGAGCAGAGGTAGGCCCCGACACAGTCACAGCCGGTGTCGAAGCGGTCTAAGACCGCTGATTCTAGGACCGGGGGTCAGCAGGGCCGCACTTGTGGAAAGTGCGACAAGGTTCATTCCGGGGTTTGTTGAGCAGGTAGCGGGTGCCACTAGTGTGGCAAGGAGGGGAATTATGCGAAGGATTGTCGCCATCCCGTCTCGGTTCCAAGTATAAGGCTATGTTACCACTGTGATCAGGTTGGCCACTTGAAGGCCAACTGTCCGTTACTCGCCGCCAAGCCGGCATAGGCTCCCCCGCTAGCTACATTGCGGATTATAGATGGGAGACCGATTAGAGCAGAGCCTCCGAGGGCTCAGGGACGTGCCTTCCAGCTTACAACAGAGGAGGCCAAGGCAGCACCAGATGTAGTTGCTTGTATGCTTCTATTCCTTATCTTACTGATTATATATGTTTTATGCTTATCTGTTTGTACCTGTGATTAGGTACGTTTTTAGTGAACTCCTTGAATGCATTAGTCTTATTTGACTCGGGGGCGAGTCGATCATTTGTATCCCAGATATTTAGTAGGGAGTTCAGTGTGTTAGTAGGAGAGCCAGAGTGTCTGTTGTGAGTCTTTATCGCCAACGAACACGGGGTTTCTGCTTCTTCAGTTTATCGAGGATGTGAGTTGGAGATCTTCAGGGTGTCTTTCCCGATCGACTTGATTATGATTTTCCATGGGGGATGTGTGTGTGATTGTGGGTATGGACTAGCTTAGTCGTTTTAGTGCCATGATCGACTGCGAGGGTCAGTGGGTAGTGGTTCGAACCCCAGGTGAGGGAGAACTGATTATCTATGGCGAGGGTACCAGATTGGGATCAGGGTTTTGCTCAGCTGCCAGGGCTTGGAAGTATATTCAACACGGGTGTACGGGTTATCTAGCATATGTGGTAGATAGGCAGGTCAAGGATCAGATTTCAGTTTCAGAAGTTCTAGTGGTCAGGGAGTTTGCTGATGTATTTTTGGAGGAGTTACCCGGAGTGCCTCCGGAGAGGCAGGTCGAGTTTAGGATCGGCCTAGTGCCCGATGCGGCCCCTATCGCCAAGGCGCCATACCAGTTGGCGCCACCAGAGATACATGAGTTGTCATCAAAACTGCTAGAATTGTTGGGCAAGCAGTTCATCCATCCGAGCAGTTCCCAATGTGGAGCACCGATTCTCTTCACCAGGAAGAAGGATGGTTCACACCGGATGTGTATTGATTACCATGAGTTGAACAAGTTGACGGTGAAGAGCTGCTATCCACTCTCGAGGATAGATGATCTTTTTGATCAGTTGTAGGGGGCATCTTGGTTCTCTAAGATAGACCTGAGGTCCAGGTACCATCACGTCAGGGTTAGGGAGGAAGATGTGGAGAAGACCGCGTTCCAAACTCATTATGGACACTACGAGTTCGTGGTGATGCCGTTTGGGCTCACCAACGCGTCTGCAATATTTATGGACCTGATGAATCGGGTTTGTAGATCGATGCTTGATCACTCAGTAATCGTATTCATAGACGATATCTTGGTATACTCCAAGACCCAAGAGCAGCATAGGGAGCACCTTCGGGTTTTATTGGGAGTTTTTAGACGGGAACATATTTATGAAAAGTTCTCGAAGTGCGAGTTTTGGTTACGAGAGGTTCGGTTCCTTGGACACCTCGTTAACCAGGAGGGGATTTTGGTCGATCCGGCTAAAATCGAGGCAGTTATGTAGTGGGAGGTTCCGAAATCTCCGTATATCAGGAGCTTTCTAGGATTGGCAGGGTACTACCGGAGATTCAAACATGACTTCTCCAAGATTGCAGTACCCTTCACTCGTCTGACGAGGAAGGTTGTAGATTTATGGTGGGGCCCCGAGCAGCAGAGGGCGTTTAAGACCCTCTGACAGAGACTATGTGAGGCTCCAGTC